ATAAACCTGCTAATTTATTATACCAGCATACCCCTAACAGTCTATAAGCCTGCTAATTTATTATACCAGCATACCCTAACAGTCTATAAGCCTGGTCTTTATACCCATAGATTAGTGTAGTCCTCACACCCCGTCAAGGAAACTTTTTCTTTGCAGCAGATGAAGGCCACTATAGAAAACTACAACCAATCAAAATGCACAGTTGTGGAGCCCAGTCCCAAAATATACATCCACAAAACACTCCAACATTTAAGAAGACACTGTAAAAGAAGAAGAAAAGACTGTAAGAGCCAAAGGCTCAGGGAGTGTGCTGTGAAATTGTGTTTCTTAGTAACTTCAGAAGCTATACACATAAAGTCTCAATAACATGACTGCCTAATGTTAAGCTGAACAAAGATGACACAAATGAACATACCAAGCTAGACAAGAAAAAGCCCAGGAGGCCTCAACCCTACACAAAGAACTACAGGCAACTGAGTGGAGATGGGAAGAGCACAACAATTCATCCAGTAACAAATGGTTAGCCCTGAAAACATACATATAAGCAAAAAAGAGGCCATGAATTTGAAGGCTAGTGAGGGGTATTTTGGAGGGTTTGGAGGGAGGAAAGGGGAGAAATGCTCTAACTAAATTATAATCTCAAAAATTAAAAAAAAATTCTATGTTAAAAGGATAGAAACACAGGTAAAAAAAACAATAATCATTTTAATTGTTTTTCATGAAACACCAATCCCAAAGGCTATTGAGCAGAAAATGATCCAAGTCAGCAATTTAGAGCAAGTTATTACATACACATATTTCCAATAGGGATTAAAAAATGATATTACCTTCCTCCTCACTGGACGTTTTAGGACAACCATGAGGGAGATAGGTCAATTGGACCTTACGATTTATTCCAGAAAAATGACCATACCTGAAAAAGAAAATGCAAATTTGATTGTAAAATATTAATAAAGTATTGACTGATTTTCTAAGAAAAAAATTAAAATAAATGGATTAAAAACTAATTCTCTTCTACTGTTTTGGTAGATTCTTCAAAAACACCCTAGTCCAAAACCAAAAAAAAGTAGTAATAGCTAATCATTCAAACCCACTGAACTTTTTAAAAAAGTATTTTGATAAAAGCTAGACAATTCTGAAAGCATGCAGCATATCTGTGTGTGTATGTGTACATATATACACACACACACACATACACACACACACACATATATATATACATACATACACACACACACAAACATATATATGTATATTTACAAATATATATATAAAAGACCTGGAGTATAAGAAGGATTGCTATGAAATGTCATCTTGTGGACAGAAATTGGTTATTGCATCCTAAACTCACAAAATCCATAGTTATCAGCACAAGAAGAGGCCCGAGAAAATTCTGGTCTGGGTAAGGTGCTCCCCAGGCCCTATCATGACTAAAGCCTCTATAAGCTAATGGCTTCTAGGAAGGGAGAATCATTCTTTCTTCAGAATATGGTAATGGGTAGGTTTCCCACACTCCAGTGGATACCCCACAGCCATGCATATATACAGTTAGTGCTAATTGGACTTAATAAAAATCACAATATTAGGGGGAAGATATGCTGGTGGAGAATGGAGGTAGTTGAAGGGGAAATGGGAAGTACACACATAGGAAATTCTCAAAATTAACAGAAAGATGTTTTAAAATTAAGCAGAATTTGAGTATCATTAAAGGATATAAGAAGTCACTCATAAAGGATATAAGTAATCACTCATGTAAAGCTCACAAGAGAAATGCTGATGGGAATCAATTTCTGAATGACAGTTCAAAGACTTTTAGCTAACGAGGTCTCAACCTAAGATTTCATCAGCTTCATTCTAAGTATTCAAGAAGGTACAAGGAAAATGCTTGCTTGCTTCCTCCTCACTGAAACAGTAAATCTAAAGCAGCAATTCAATAAAATAGCATATTTTGTTACATAAAGTACACAGGAGAACTGTACAGTAAGGAAGATTGTCAGAGAGGTACTCACATCTCCAACACAGTCTTAAGTTGCTCAAGTTTTGACTTGTTTTCTTCAATTTCAGAGTCATTATTTTGCCCCAGCTCCATAAGAAGCTGCCGTGCAATATCCAGGACTTCCTATGTACGTTAATAAAGAGTTTGAATTTTTATGTAATTTCACCATAAAAAAATAAAATTCAACATACATAAAAGAAAAAAACAACAACAACTTGCCTGTAATTGTTTTGGCTTCTTGAGTTTTAACTTCCCTGATTTATATCCATCACACTTTTCAAAAAGATCAAAAAACCTTATAAAAGAATAGAAGACAGTTAGTCATTTGCAATAATTAGTATTATTGCTATGATGCTGGGCGTGGTCATGCACACTTATAATCACAGCATTCAGAAAGCTGAACCACAAGGATCCTGAGTTCACCATCAGCCTGGGCAACCCTATTAAAAAAGAAAGATAGCAAACTAAAGTGCTGACAATATAATCAACCTAATAAAAACAGTAGATATGGGAATAAGGTTTATGCATATAAGTACTATGTTTCTTCTTTCACACAACCTTGTTTCCTCTACTTATACTCCCTGCCAAAGACTTTTGTTACATATTACCCAGTTGGTGTCTACCGCCTTGGCTCCAGTGATCTTCTTGCCTCCATCTCTGAAACTCAAGTACGTATGTTTTGTGGTATCTGCTCCTTTTTTACTGATAAAGCTCAATACATGCCTAAAGTGCTTGTTCATGATGAAAGTAAAATACTGCTAAATACAAATGTTTCTGTTGTCAATGGATCATGTGCCAATACATACTTAATGGCTCAGGCTTCCATATTTTATCATCTCCAAATCAAACACTGAACAAAAATGGGAGTTTTCTACCAACTTGCTTCTGGAATGTTTAGATGCTGTTTGTCACAGTACAATGCAAGAAAATAATAAACTAAGAATAAGTAGAATATATATAATCATAATAAATGGAGGGCACAGTTAAAGATACATCCACAATAAATTTTAGGTGCTAACACACACAAAATACTTTAAATGAGTTTGTATGCATTCAGTGGTTTAAATATTTTCATGATCAAAAAAACAGTAGGTTAAAAATATTCTGTCTGATGCATCAACTAAAAGAGCTCGTACTGACAGAAATCTTAAATCACACGTGAATTAGTGAGATTTCTCTTAGGACATACTTTTGATGCCTCACTTCCATTTTCATTTTTTGTTTTGGTGTTCGATCCCCATGTCGTATGACAGCTATGACACATCGAAGTTCCATCCTAAAAATGACAAAAAAATACCCATGTTTGCAATTCCCAACATCAAGGTTTTTTCTTTGATTTAACTTTGAAAACTAAATCCTACAACAGGTTACAAAGCCAGAGAGAATATTCATTTATGCAGCATTACTTCTTTAGAGGTGGTGACAGTAACCTGGGATAAATTACATGGACTCTGGCCTTAACTTCGTTAAACACCTGCCCTGTTGTCTTAGCAGCAGATATACCATTAAATCAAAGTAAAACTGGCATATAATGGCTGCCGTATTTATTTATTTAGCATATCTTGTCATCTAAGAAAAATTATTCAAAATTCGACTTAGAAAAATGTTTTACGGTACACCAGAGTGAAAAGCTACCATTTCAATTTTCAAAGTGTAAACAACTGAACATGTTCCTGAAAGATATCAATATAAATTTGAAAATGCTGCCTCAAAAACATACAGTCCTCCCAATTAGGACTTTTCAGAATATCTATATTTCACATGCTAATATATGTCTCTAAACTTGTGGCTATGAAGTCTTCAGTCAGATCACTTGACATTAAACTGAGTGATTTCTCTAGCAGAGGCTATCAAACACTCTGGCAGAATCAGTCTGACTTATTTACCTAAAGATAAAACTAGACAAAGACAAAGCTGCATGATGATAGATGCCTGAGTAATGCACCAAGAGGCACCCCTCTGTGGTTACAGGTTTTGCTACATGCTTGCTCAACCACGTTGTAGGATTTCAAGGTAACGGTCTAAGTTTTAGTTTGCTATACTCTTGTAAAAACATATCTTCAAACTGAATCACAGGAAAATATACATAGTAAACTAAGAATCAGAAGTTTATTTTTTACTGAAACAAGACAGACTAATTACCGAATGAAAAATGAATACTTGAAACTTACATAGTTCCAGATGTAGTTGGTACAATTGGAATATCTTCAGCTTCTAGGGGTATTGACCAGGGGATATGAAACTGTGGCGCAAGCTCCCGCATTACAATATTGCTTTAGGACCAAAAGAATGTTATTAAAAATTAGTTCATTCAAAAATAGAGCCGAGTATTTAATTATGCCATGATAGAAAACCATAAGAATTTAAGTCAAACTACGTAAAGGTTATATTACATAAAAAATTTCTCATCACTTAAATTGAACACCCTAACAAAATGCCACATATTTTCAATGTGTTGCTTTAATTACATTACTCATTAAATGTATTTTTTATCATTCATTAACTACCTGTTAAACACCGATTATACTATTTTTCTGTGTGTGAGATACTACTGAGCATGGAAACCAGAGTCCTATGCACAGAGGACTTTTTCACTGATGTGTATCTCTGACAAACTTATTCTAAGTATGATAATTTCTAACAAGCCATTACTATGTTTTATTAATAGGAGGAACAATGAAAATGTTTAAATAATTGATTTGAAGGGTTGAGAGATTTCTCAGTTGATAAAGTGCTTGCATTGCAAGTATGAGAACCTGAGTTTGAACCATACTATGCTCAGTTTAAAAAGAAACAAAAGGGCAGGGCATGGTAGCGTGTTCTTTTGTAATCTTGGTGTTGGGAAGGCAGAGACTTGTGGATTCCCAGAACTAATATGCTTTACCCACTAGGAGAGTCCAGGCCAGAGAGACGTGAGAAACCCTATCTCAGAAAGAGTAGATGCTAGATAAAACTGACCACAGCTCCTGCACACACTTGAAAAAGCACCCTTACACAGTTATATACATAAACGCACAGTGCATACAAACTCACTTTCCATCTTTGCCTAGCTCCCTTTTTCTCCATTTCCTCATTTCTCTTCTCACTCTCATACATACACATAACTTATTTTTCTTCTTCTTAGCATGCATTCATACTAAAACTTAGTAAGACAGCCCTGCTTTTAATTTCTCTTTATTGAAAAGCTTACACTTTTGAAGCACAGTACAAAAGCTGACTCTAATTACCTTACATGATTTTTGTCATATATGCATAGAAAATCTTAAAGATACTTCTTGCTTAAATAATCTTCTGAATTGAGATATAAAGCACTAAGACAAATGAGACATAAGTGGTATTTCTACACATGGTATTTTCTTTTTCACTTATTTATAGTCTTATTAGGACAGCAAGTAACACATATATAGAAAGATGTCATGGAAAAGAATCCTAAATTTCAACGTTTTTCTGTATTACTCAGGTATCTTATTTTAGGAGCATTTACTTTATACCATTAAGTAGGTTAGTGAAACATTTCAAATATATAAGTAAAATAAAGGAATGCTGTATCAAATAATCCCAAATTATAGCAAAATCTATGAAGTGAAATTGTTAGAAGCAAATAATTCATTAAGCTGTCCTCATAATCTGAAGCACAACTCAGGATCTGGCATAGTTTTGGAGGTATCTTATGGATACTGAATATTATTCTACATTTATTTAAAGAGCTTCCATGGCTTAACAAGCACACAAAGGTAAACAGAAGAAAAATAAGTGAGTAAATTCTTACCCAAGAATTTTTGCACAGTCATCATAGTACTTCATGGAATTTTTCACAAAACTGAAGCCATTTACATCACAGACATAGGACTGTCCATTGGCCCGTAACAAATCAAAACCACAGACTGTTTGCTATTCAAAACAAGAAATTTTAAGGTTTCATTTAAAAACATTACATATTATAAAATACCTAGCAATATATTATTATATGAAGGTTATGAATAATCATAACCTTGAGTACTCTGTACATGTATTATGTATTCCATTATCATGAAAACACAAAACAATAGTAATAATCTATGGAATCTGAGTACAAGAAAACAATTTATAAGAATGCATTACAATTTATTTACAGACTAACATTCTTCTCACAAAATTACATAAAAGTAGTATTTTAAATTAACAATCAGTAATATAATTAGCTTAAGTTATGAATCTGGAATAGGCCTTTGTTAAAAAGATTAAAATGCATCCTTTATTAAATGCAAGTTGTACTACTTTTACTTGAACACTGTATACTACTAATTACATAAATTAACAGCAGAGAAGAGCGAAAAGTCAAGTACAGAAACAAAGAGGTTTCTTTAAAAAGGGTATTTATAGTGTTCTCAAGAATACGTTTTACTGTGTATTAGGCAAAAGTATTGAGAGCTAATGATAAAACAACGAAGATCACTTTTAATCTACCAACTTAAAACTATGCTAGGCACTGCCACAAAGTAGCAGTTAGTGGTGTTATTCTATAATTTTAATTTTTGCCTAACTGAATAAGGTTTATTACTTTTCTATAATACAAAAATATAGTGGTAATATAGGAAAATGATGTCGGCGCCACAGGAACACCTACATACATACATGAGCTCAAATATACTAACTACTTACTCAGCATACTTCTCTAATTAAGTCCGATAATGGGTAGTACCCCCCCAAAAAAAAAAAAAAACTTAGAATACAAGGGTCTGCATGATGTACACAGCATCCTACCTTAAAAGCAAGGCAGACTTTCCACGCAATCAGCTTCTCCCGTGCATTGAGAATGACAGGGTATCTTACTTCTTTCCCTTCACTGTCTCTTTCTACCTTGCCATCAAGAGCTGGAGATTTTCGAGCTTCAGCATGAGCATAGTCTGGACCCACAGTATAAACCTTTCACAAAATTTAAATATATACAGTATATATTGCTGATTAAATATATAACCAGAAAACAAGAATTCAAAGAAAGATATCTATTTATGATAGTTCAGAGGCCAAACTATTTAAAGACACACCTTTCTATTTTATATACTATGATTTTCAATATATCAGAAAAGGTTAAACAAAATTACTTACACAGCATAATGGGATCTTATTCTCTGTATAAAACTACTAAACTGACCATTATAACGCTAAAACTCTCTATGTGTAATACCAGAAAGATACGTTTCTTAAATAGGGATAGAAGAAATGGCTACAAGATTTTTAAAGGGTGGGGGACTAATGTAAAGGGAGACTGAGGAAAGGCATTTTATACAGAGGTAATAAATAGAAAGGACAGAGAAATGAAGCAACACAGGGTATTCTGGGAAGGGAAAAGGATTTGAATGCAGTGTGTACTGCACAAAATGGCATTTGTTAGAAGAAAGGTGAGGAAATAGCTTATATAGCAGTTTTGTAAACATGGATGTTATCCTGTGGTCAATGAGAATTTACCAACAAATTTTAAAGGGCAGGTTCAAGATCATATTTAAGCTTAGAAAGAAGAGCCTAGTCAGAGAAAGGCTGGGAAGAGGCAAGCTTCATCAGTTACCAAATGCAAAGGTATTTTTATATTGCATTACAGTTATCACAGAGCCACATATCACTGACATTAATCACTGTTTGGTAAATGGTAGGTAGCTACTTGAATGTTCAGCCTGATAAATGTACTTACTCATCAGCCTTTAAAGAACTGTATGTATTTGAAACTTTGACTAAGCATTTTTATAACATTCACTGAAATCCATCATCTTTGTAATACTGTGTGTTTTACTTTAAGCCTTTAAGAACACTTAAAAGGAGTCCTTAGGCTTCCAACTGTCATAAGTCTGGACTAAAGAGCTTAATGTCAGAATGCTTGCCTGCCTCACATAAGAGCCCATGTTCCATCCCTAGTACCAATAATAATAACAAGAAAATTAAGAAAAATAAGTAGAAGCTAAATTGTTCCCTTTCTCTAAAATAAATAATAAACTCAAAATATAAGCTAAATGGTCTCTATGATTTATATGGTCTTATGATAGTTGAATTTGTGAATTTTTGATGTGACAAGGATGATGCAACATTGATTTACTTCCAGCTGAAATTATCCTTTAAATTTTTATTACCTTCTTGTTTACTGACAATATAGTATCATTCCCTCATGCTATAGGACAGCAGCAATTAGATATAGCTTTTGCCAGTTGTGCAATTACAAGCAAAATATAATCATGTTCTACATGGAGTGCACCATGCCACTAAGTTATGATGTTGATAAGGTTAGGTTTGTTAAATGTTTTTGGTTTTTTTGAGAAAAGACAGGTCCTCTGGTATGGAAATGGATATGTAGCAAAGGCTTACCTCAAACTCAGGATTCTCCTGCCTCACATCTCAGTGCTGGGATTGTAGGCTATGCTACCGTACCCAGCTAACATAGTGTTCTGAAGTTAACACAAAGGTTATCAGGACATGACCCAATATTAGTCAAGGGGTATCTGTACTTCAACTCATCATGTCGTAATCAGCCCCATCCTAAATACATCTTACCTTAACATCAGTACCATCTGTAGGCATAAACTCTTCATATATATATGATCCCGTTTTTCGCACATTGCTTTCTGGGGAATATACACTACTTCTACTGCCAATCTAGAGAGAAAAGATGTCCATCAATATAAGTAAAGTATCCTCATTTTTATAATATAGCTAAAATATAACTTTTATTTATTATCTACTGTAGACACTCTAATTCAATAATTAAAATAATTTTAATTCATGAAGCTTTAAAAACTTATTTGGCAGTATGTATTTCTACTGTACTTGTTATGTAAATATAACAAAAATGCATAAAATATAATTCAAAAAAATCATGTTTCTAGGTGTTAAAGATCTTGAGAGATCTAGCTGCTCTTTCAGGAGACTGCAGCTCCTGGCACACACATCAGTCAGCTAACAACCACCTGCAGCATCAGAGGTCTGATGCCCTCTTCTGGCCTCTCTTGAATGTATGTAACACACACACACACACACACACACACACACACACACACACACACACAGTTGGGTCTGTTTATTTTTGTTACAGAGTTTCCACTATGTAAGCAACATTTCACTTTACATATATATGACTAGGTTGTTTGCCAAGCTTCTTGTGTAGTACAGTGGTAATGCTTTAAACATTCTTAAGACATATGCTACATATGTAATTATTTTTCTAAAAATTTCCTAGGAGGTTCATATTCATTCATATCTGTACTTACACACATACTGCCAAAATCTTTTAAAAACTGTTATCTGAGTCTCACAAGCAATATATGAGAGATTTCTAACTGGTCTAAACTTCTTAGTCTCTATTTGGTATTTTTAATCTTTACCACTATAGTGGATATTTAGATGGCATCTGGTCTTCTGTTTAAAATTAATTTTCATTTTATATGTATTAGTGTTTTGTGTGCATGTATGTAAGTGCACCACATGCATACAGTGCTTGTGAAGGCTAGAAGATGGCATCAAATCTCCTGAACTGGAGTTGCAGATGGTTGTGACCAACCATAGTAGGTCTGTGAGCCCACTGGGGTCCTCTGCAAGGGCATCAAGTGCTCTTAACTATTGAGCCATTTTTCAAGCTCTTTGCTGTAACCTTAACATGGAAATTCATGCCTATGAGTGCATCTTTAATTTTGATACATTATTAAATTATATTAATAACAGACTGAATTCCTGCTAACATTTTTGGACTGGGTTTATTTCCCAACTACCTAATTAAAAAAAAAATTCTTAACATTCCAAAAAGTAACATGATACCATTATACTTCAGATCTGATTTGCATTTGTTTTATTATGAGAACAATTAAGCATATACTTAAATGTGTAAAAATTACTAATACTACTTTTTGTATGAATTGGCAATTTTTCCATATGATTTCTCCAGAAAGGAGCTTATCTTTAATTCAATTTCCAGTCTGATAGAAATACAAGTGGGAGATTGAAGAATACAACTTTCCTTGTATTCTGAAGGCAGGAATTTTGTTTACAAAATTGTGTAATTACACTTTCTATGGTAACTTGGATGGGAAATGTCCCTCACAGACTTAGGTATTTGAACATTTGCTACCCATTGGTGTCTCAGTTTGATAGGTGTAAGAGCCTGACTGCAGAAGTGCCTCCCTGGGGGCGGGCTTTGAAAAGTTAAGGCCTCTGGTGTCCTTTCCTGTCGGTTCTCTCTACTTCAGTTTTGCCGTTAGAGAGCAATCAGCTCTCAATTCTCAGCTCTCTGCTCCTGTTACTACAGCCATGCAGCAGCTAGCTGCTAGGCCTCTCTCACCAGAATGGACGCTTATCCTTTTGGAACCCTAGAAGTTGCTTTTGTTGTGGTATTTTATCAGTGTTAACAGAAAGTACTTTCTGGAAGCATTATGTGTTTCATAACTTTCCTCTAGATGATGACAGTTCAGTATCTCACCTCAGTTTCTGAGGCGCTTGATGACCCTCAACAAATTTGAGCAGACTGTACAGAAGAATGCAGACTACTCACAGAAGGATTACAAGGCTCACCTTCCTGAAAAGCCTCTGACTCCCACCTCCGGCGGATGTCGGGTAGTAAATGTAAACATTGTGGTCTTCTGCACTGACTGGCTTTTCTACAAATGGCTTTTGGAAGATTTCCCCATTTACTTCGACATGATCTTCTCCTTCAATCAGACTGCATTCTACACACAAAGCATGAGAGCAAGACACATCACAGACTGTTACGTCACCTATATAATAGCTTTACAGGAGCGAAAGCAAAATTTTAAGCTTATAGTAAAACTATGTTCTGCTTAGCAGACAAAATTAATCAGAACTGGGGAGGCAGCACAGCAGCAGAGTAGAGGCCTGAATAATATGTGCGAGGCCCTGGGCTCAAGCCTCAGTACCTTGAAGAAAAGGAGCCCACCCCAAGACAAAGGACTCCAGGCAACCGATGCTGAGAGAATAAGAGTTAGCCTTAACCAAGGGTGAGCTTCCTAAATGATTATCCAGTACCAGTGGTCAGCCCTCAAACCATAAGTTACAATTATACGTACAATGAACATGGAGACAATTCCTATATTATTAATTATCAGTTAGCGCATGTATATTGTTTTGTTTTGTTTCCTGGACAGAGTCTCATAATATGAAGTCCACCTGGCCCACTGAATATGTACTGACTCCAACATTAAGTTTCCTATCAGCCCGCCCAATCCTTCTGAGTACTGGTATACAGACATGAACCACCATGAAAGGACCACAATGTGGTATGTTAACTAAACACAACATTCATCTGTTTAACTCATTAAGAAAAACTATTAAATAGGGTATTATGAATTCTGAAATTATTTCTACTTATTGTAGGGAAGCAGCAAAAAGTACATAAACAGCCAGAAGGAAGAATGCTGAGTTCTCTGACCTTTCGGGTTATTTGGATCACGGTTCAGAATTGCATACCGAGGAAGCAGGATGCCTTCAGCTTGAAGAATGCTATAAACGTCTCTTCTAAAGAAACAGAAAAGCTTCCTTAGTGTTCTACTTTCTATTTCCCAATATATTATGCTCCCATACCAGTAAATTATCACTCTTTAATACCACATAAAAGACACAAATATCTACTTTGTGTTTTTCTAAGTATTTCAAATATCAAAGTGCTTCTAACAAAATTTTCACCAAAATGCACATAAAATAGTTTTTGTAGCATATCAAAAGACTACACTTTAAAAGAATGTACACAGATGAAGAAAATCAAGTAAGACTAATATATCACAAAGGCAGAAGAATATTGTCTAATTACTAAAACCCTTACCTTAAAACAATATTTAATGCTATAGAAAAACGTCCACAGTATACTAAGAGAAAGGTGATTCTACCCTCACATGAAATTAATATATACATATATATATTTCCATGTAAGTAATATAAGTAAGCTCATGTTATAACACAAAACTAGAATGCTCATAGAAAATAAGAATTATATGTAGCTACAAAAACAAAATATTAATTAAATGAAGCAGACAAACACATACTTTCATCATTTCATATAGGTGTCTATGATCATGAATGTTAAGATACACAGTAAGAAACTGTTGTGATGGGTACACTTCATTATAAAAATCATCAGTTACAATGAGTGAATGCTATGTCTTAATCATAAGTCATATAACAGGAAACTGCAATTTTCATGGGTTCAATACGCTTTGGAAATCAAGCAAATGTGGTCCAATTCCTTGTCCCACTATTTGGGAGACTACCACTTATTTAGGTGAATGATTTCCTCAATTCTCAAGGTTCCTCATCTGCAAAGTTTGCTAACAAACATCTACTTCTGTGTATTATTTTAAGGATGCAATGAACTAACATTTGTGAAAGCATCTGATGCTCTGTCAGCATACACTAATTACTAAGTAAGTACTGATTTCTTTTCCTCTTAATTCAGCCAGCTTCACCACTCACCTATCTTGTATGAGATACTGCATATTCAAGTCATTGATTACAAATGGATTCCTGAGTTTTGCATAGGCAACTGCTTTGTCCAGTGGAAATCCTAAGAACACATATTATTATCATATTCTGTACAATCTCAACATAAGCCAAAATCTATAAATTTATCAACTTCAATATGCTACCTCCCCTAAAAAAAATTTCATCATGTACATAACCTTCTATAAAAGATATAAAATAACCACTATAGAATTTTTATTTAAGTTGTACTGTTAAAATTAGTTTTTCTTAGTGATTATCATTGATTCAGCACACCAAGTCACTGGCTATGACATGTTAGCCTGTATCTGCCTATTTAAAGACACCTGATAGAAAGATAAGATTATTTCATATATCAAGGGAAATCGATGAATAACGTGTTTCATATTACTTGATTTTTAAAACTATTCTCAATATACAATTTCCTTTTATTTGATATTTTAATGTCAGTAAATATGAACTAGTTGACAGTACCTTTAAAAGTAGAAGCAAATGCAAAAATGGATTTATACAAAATAAAATGTATAAAAGATAAAAATATGAAAAGAAGCATGCTGTTCCTGGGTCACCATTAGGATATAGAAATTAATTCTTTAAAATTTCTAGACTAGTAAAATGATTAACAATAATGAAAATGAGTCAAGTGTAATGATATGGCTACAACAGATTTGAAAAAAATATAAATTTCCGAAATTATATTTACTCTCTATATTGCCACTAAAATTCGCCAATGTATCACAATAGATGAGAGCACAAATCAGTGCTGAAATCCTGCCTGTCTAGCTATATAAGGTTGAACAAACTTATCTATCATGAAACTCAAGGCCAGCTGTAAATGAGCATGACACCCATCTAACCAATAGGACTCTTGTAGAATTAAAACCTTTTTAATGTATACAAGATACTTGGAAGGTTTGGTATTATGTTCCAAAGAATGATAGCTTTTACTGTCCTTACGTGACAACTCTTTCATAAGTATCTTATTTATGGAAGATAAAAACCAGTCAGCAGGACAGTGGATGATTTAACAGTGAACATTAACTGCTAGTGAGGACATGACATTTTTGCAGCACTACAAGAAATTTTAGAAAGGTTAAGTATTAAAATTCTAATTAAAAAAAAAAGGCTATGTTCAGTTAAAAAAAAAAACTTATCCCTAAATTACCCTTATTTTTTTTTTTTTAATAATGCATTAAGGCGTAGCTGGACTCAAATTACAAATCTTAACAGTTAAAGTATAAGAATTTTGCACTTGTAAATGTCTCAATGTCATAATTTCAAGCTTCCCATCAGAACTAAGCAAATGAAAATCACCTGCCATCAGTTCCATGATTTCTTTTTATTAAAGAAAAAAATTCTCTCTTACCATTGCATAACATATAGAATATGTCCTTAGACACGGCAGAGAGCTTTTAGGAGCTAGTAGCCTCACAGAGAGAACCATATCATGGTTCATAGGCAGGAAATTTAAATTTTTCTGAAAGAAAAAGCCTCAACCAACCAAGATCAAAGATGGGCTTACTGAAAAATGAAAATGAATTTTAACTATCAGTATTTAAAAAAAATTTTTTTTAGCATAGTTCACAACTATTTTGGGGGGAATAACAGAATGGTTAATATAGAAAAAAATTCTAAAACTTACAAACTTAATGGGAAAATCAAGTAATTTACAAAATTTTTAAAATTTTCAGAGATAGTCAGCAATAATTTTGATTATTAGATTTTACTATAAGGCAATACTCAAACTTAACTGATATTTACGTTCAATTAAAAATGTAAAGATGCCCTAAAATTTTAATTGAAAGTTCTTCAGAAATAAAAGTATGTACACTTATATAAAGAACACCAGGCTATGTAGTAGAAATATAGGGCTTAAAATATTCAATAATTCAAGAACTTATCCACAGATATATGCAAAAAAGGCATATGTCTGATCACAACTATATTTTAATAGTGAAGACTAGGAGTTATTCAAATGTTTGGTTATTAGTTAACTATGTTATACATTTACATAATACACAATATTAAAAGTGTGATGTGGAAAATTTGATAAAAATCTAAGAAAGGCTAAATGTAAAGTTACGTATAACATCAACGCTAAATTTATATAAGACACATAGAAAAAGATTAGCAAGAAATATAACAAAATATCAACAACCCTTATCTGTGGGTTAGCTTCAATTCTGTTTTATCCAATATTCTACAATTAGTATATATTATTTTTACAACCACAGAGGATAAAACACCCCTGTCCACCATATAATACCTTTAGAATGGAAAGAAATAAGACAATCACATAAAGGCCAATTTTCCACAGGTTCATTCAAAATCACTTCCTCTTCAAAAACTACTACTGTGATGTACTTAAACAAAGAGATCCGTTCCAGAATTTCCTTCATGGGTTTGGATTTGGATTTCTTTGCCATGGAACATATTCCAACCACAATTTGCCTTTCTGGTGGCTAAAACAGAAAGAAAGCAGAAAGATAGGATGACTTAATAGGCATTCTAAGATATTATTACTATGCTTGTTTTCTCTCAAAAGTAGATGAAGCATAGGAATTAATAATGAAAGTGACATATTTACCACTGAAGTCAGAAAAATTCTATTAGTTATAATACTTTACAATTAAAATAAATTTTTACAAAGATTTGAAAAAAAAAAACAATTTGTTACTGTTTTCAATTAACTTTAAAATATGAACAAACATTCCTTCTTCAACTGCTTCTGCGTTTATTTATCTTCAGGCAGGAAAAACAAAAAAACAAGAGCAAAAACTCACCTACTCCAACTAAAAGCCCAGACAGAAGAGTCGGATAAAGAATTCTGTTGTCTAAAATCAAACGCATTTCCAAAGCTACATAGTATTAAGTCTTCTTGTAGACTGAGCTGGGACAAAGCTGGTCATAGAGAGCTTTCTGAGTCAGAGAAAGGCTCACTGCTGAAGAGAAGGTGCCAGTGATCTTTGAAACCCCCTTCAATATTCATACTTGGCAATCCTATTTAGTGGTCTTGAATCTTTGTATTTTTTACCAAATCAACTTTAAACTTAAATACACACACCATATATACAGTAAATTCTGAGGATCTCACATGCTCCTAAAATTCCTTTATTTTCATTCTGTATTCTTTTCATCTTGGTCTTTGCATTCCGGAGCTCAAGAGTTCTATCAACTATATAAATCCAAATCTACTCTTCATATAACATAATACAAAGCAGTTCAAACGTGGATCATTAAACTTCCTCTTAAATGTAGCAATGAAAATTTTGGGATTAAATTGTCCATTTCACATCCAGAAAAATAAATCTACATTGCTTCTAACATAAAAACTGGAGTTCAAATGAATACTAGATTTCTGGAGTTCAAATGAGTACTAGATTTGATTATGAATCAAACAGACTATAAACAATAACTATCTTGGGGTCTACTATGTCTGCTTCGTCTTATCATCCATCTTAAGGCTCCCTTTTTATTTTATTCCTCATCAAAAATCCTAAAATGGTTCATTATAATCTTCCTAAAGGAGATTCCACAGGTCTGCTCTACTATTTATTTTGTAATGCTATGACAGAATATGTGACAAAAAACATTAACAGGGTTTCTCAAGGTTCAGCCCACAGTGGCTCAGACAGAACATCTTTGCTACAGAAAACTTTCTCCTGCTGTGAGTCAGAACGAGCTAAGAGTGTGATCCCTACCTAGAGGAGCTAGAGCTGCTCAATGGCTTAGCCCCAGTGACTTCTCTATGAACAATTCTGCTCTCCTGGCATAGGACCTAAGTAACTGTCTAACTGCTACTGCAGTCAGATCTCACCACTTTAACCAAGTGTGACAGGTTTTTATTTTTAAATAACATTCTATTTTTAATTTGAAATTTAAGAAAAATCACAGCTGGCTCTTTGATCACCTCCCCCTGAGGGGGAAGCAGCCTTACCAGGCCACAGAGGAAGACAATGCAGCCAGTCCTGATGAGACCTGATAGGCTAGGGCCAGAAAGAAGAGGAGGAGGACCTCCCTTATCAGTGGACTAGGAGAGGGACATGGAAGATGAGGGAGGGAGGGTGGGATTGGGAAGGAATGAGGGAGGGGGCTACAGCTGGGATACAAAGTGAATAAATTATAATTAATAAAAAAAATAAATAAAATTTAAAAAGAAAAATCAACACATATTTTATATCCGTATTTCAAATCAGTTCTCAAAATAAAATAATCACCACCTGCGAACAAGAACAATGATGAATAAGAAGCACAGTAGACAAGGAAATGAATAGAAGAGATGTGCTCCACTTCTAAGATGCAACATGGACAAGACATTCTGATTCATCATTTTCTCACACTCACAAAAGCCGGCCTTTGAGACAGTCTTGTCAAACTTCATAATGTAGTTATGTCATTTCTTAATGTCTTACTGAACAACTCTAAACTGCCATTAAACTACTTAAGGATCTTATCTCTAAGCTATATTTATCATACTTTTTAATTGCCTGTTAACTCAATATTAATTATATCTTTTCAATTTAAAGCGTTTTAACAAACTTGCAGATTAAAAAGTTGTCCTATTTAAAATCACAGCATTCATTTGCATTTACGTTAGTGAAAGCTCTGTACTATACTGGTTTACCACAGAAGAAGGAAACCACTCACTGACTCATCCTCGTCCTCCTCATCTTCATCTGCATGGTGGAAGAAGCGACGGTAATTTCCAGGGTTGATTTCTGCATCTTCAGGTCCAACAAAGAATCTGGGGGCTTCACTCATTTTTATTTAATTTGATATACATAAAGTTTAAATAATCTATATTAAAGCGGCTTCAAAAAAATAGTGTCAGAACAAAACATTCTTATTATGCTGGCTGACACAGAGGTCTGTACAGTGTTTTCACACAACCACATGAAATGTGCTGACATTTAGTTGGCAAATGCTTCTTTGTTTTCAGATATCATTGTTTCATTGTTGAACTCCAAGTTGCTGCTCTAGCTTAAAATACAAGGACAATGAGGCTACTGCTTCCCTGAGTTGAAATAGCAATCCTTTTACCTAAAATGCAACACAAATAATTAACCTGACAAGCGCTTCAAAAACACTCACATAAAAAATAATTTTAAATGATACTATAAAGTCAGAACCAATAACTTGACAGAGGCCACCAAAATGAAGATATATTTTCCTGCATAAAATTAAGTAATGAAGATTATATTCCAGAAAAATACATCAGAGCAAGTGGATAAGATGACACAACATAACAAAAAGACTACACTTGACTTAAATTTAAAAGGTACCTGACAAATGAGAAAATTATGCAAATTATAAAGCAAAATTTTGTTAAAAATTAAAACCTTGAGCCCAGAAGTAACTGAAAAGAGTACACAGAGATAGATGAAATGTAATGTAGGCTTGAAAATAACTAAAAATTGAGCATTGATCTCAGACAGCATAAATCAACTGTAAAAAATTCAGTTGAAGACAGGTTTTTAGGGAACATAACTATTGTATATTAATTAGTAGATTGGACACAAGACTGGATTCAGCAGAAGTTTTCAAGCTGACAGTTTAAAACTATTTAGCAAATGTAGAACAATTGCTACAGCCTCTGAACATAATGTACTTGTCAAGAAACTGCATGTGATTCAGTGACACTCCCACAGAAAATCCGCCATGAAAACCCACTAGGTAATTAGTATATGCTAAAGCTGTTTACTTGTATTTGAACACTGGTGATATTAAAATTAGTTATCTGCCAAGATTAAATTATTCACGAAATACTTCACTTGATATAAAAAGCATCAAACAATATGCGAGATAGATTTTTCAAAGCACCACCCCAATTTCTTATTTCTAGTGGTCTGACTGAAGTCTAACTGGTGGCTTTCTATGAAACTACAACCAGTTTACTCAGTAAGCCTTGGCTTTAGAAAATTGTTATTAAAGTTCAAATCATTTAGTCTAAAATGGAAAGCAGAATCTAGTTATTTAAAGTGCTTTTTGTTTTTTATTCTTTCTGCACTATTTAGTATTTAAAAAGTGTTTGCTAGGAAGGAAGAAATACAAGCTTCTGCAACTTCACAGCGGACCATTTCAGCTCAGCTTTTTTCTTACATACAAGTATATGTCTTTGGGGCCTGTGTGCTTCTTATATTCTTTCCATTTAACATATCCAAATACTGTAGTAGCAGAAAGAGTATGTGCTTGGAGTCAACTACACCAATCTGTTACTCAATAACTAACAACTTACGCTAGCATTTCTGAATCTCAGTTTCCATGTGCACGTGTTTGAATGAGAGTATACCAAAAGCCTGTAACTGAAGACTTAGGTGGCATGGTGCTTTATGCAGAAACATGTAATAAACTTATATTTCTATATGAACTGTTATAAATTAAGCTTCCTACTAACACAACATGGAAATATAAATGAATACTGCTTGCTACTTGCTGAAATAAACATATTTACTCCATAAATACTATTCACTTCTTAGAGACTCCCCTCACTAACACAAACAACTATATCCCCAGTTTAAGTATGCTAACAAAAATGAGTAAATAACAACAACAACAACAACCTTGTTTTAGAGGCAGTGCTGGTTTTGGTTTGTTTGTCTGTGTAGTTTTTAATTTAAATATTCTTTGGGAAATGCCTAGAACACAGAAACAAAATTTTGAGTAAGTCAGTCAAGAATCCAATGACCAGTGGCAGAAATACCATTGTTTGTTGGTTGTAAAACAATAGCAGGACTGGAGAGATGGCTCAGTAGTTAAGAGCCATGCTCTTCCAGAAGTCCTGTTCCATTCCCAGCATCTACATGGTAGGTCACAACTGCAGGCCCAAGGGATGTGATGCCCTCCTCTGGTGTGCAGACATACCTGCAGACAAAACACAAATATACATAAAGTATATAAGTTAATCTTAAAAACAAAGAAAAAAAACCCCACTGGTTTGTCTTTCCTACTAGTCTTTCAAATGAATACTCCACACTGGGAGAACTCATCCTGAGGAAATTAGGGGAGAAGGATGTGTATCACCTTGATTCACATGACATTGGATCAAAGCCAAGGAGTGATATATTGAGAACATCTTGTACAACAACATAAAATATTGAAGCCGAAGTATACTTGGTTATTTCCTATGTTTATAGAATAGTCAAGGAGGTTGGAGCAGAAAAATAGAGAAAATGATGCCAAAGATATAAATAAGGTGCATTCAGAAGACTGAGGGGTAAATTATTTTTTAAACTGCACTTGAGAAAGCAGGTGAGGAAGAAGAGGCGGGATAGATAGTGACAAATTTTGTCATAATAGTACCAGAATAATTAGCCCTCAATAGAATATAAGGCTAAGTGATGCTTTCATTTATTTTTTCTCTAATTCTATTTCAACATATCAGAGACATTATTAAAAAGCTGAACCAATTAATGCTTAAAAGTATGAACTTGGGAGTCAAAAAAGTAAGGTTGGATTATATTCCTTTAAAATTGTATTTGAACTCCTGGGCCCTCAATTTCTTTATATGTAAACTGTATCTGTCATATTCCATGTAAGGGATACATATATGTTGATACATTAAAACTATCTGTATTCTAAATTCTAGACATACTCCATACCAATTATAATGTTTGAGTAGAACTCAGATATTTTTATAGTATTTCTAAAAAATTTCACATTAATTATTTTTTAAGGTTTATCAAGCAGTTCTAACAAGTAGCCAGGTTTACTCATGTACTACAAAAAAAAAAAAAAAAAAAGAAAAAAGAAAAATGAAGGAGAGCAAAACAGTAGAAGCACACAGGAAGCAAAACACACGTTCACCGTTTTCAGGACTGTACACTGTTTGTTACCATAGGAAAACATTATCTCCTATAATAAAAAGGATATAAACTTATAAAGTAGAATTTTTACAAGTGTTAGGCTTATCTCAAATAATATAAATAGTCCACAAAATTTACCAATTTCCAAGATTTCTTCCCTTTATCATTCATTTGACCTTGGTCATCTACAGTCTTATTATTTAACAAACCAGGTTATATAAAAAAAACCTCAAGAAAATAAAATTTTACTAAATGTTTTTATATTCTAAAGACTTTTTAATGCAGGGCTTCCTAAAATGTTGCTCAATGATGAATGCATAATTCATCATGTTAACAATTGCCTGAGCCATTCAGATGGCTTTAAGGCCCTACTCAGATAACTTGAGTAACACTATCTTCAGTTTTCCCTATGATACATTATCATTTTTGATGTATGTCTTAAGGTGAAAACCAATTAGGAAGCAATTACTACTTTGCAAATGAATGATCTCACAAACATCTTTGGATAGTAGATGTTTTCCTCATTTTAAACATATGTGAAGTATGTAAACGTCTATTATTTCAATAGTACTGAACACATGAGGCTCAGGTATTACAATAATTTTAACTATATTAAATCAATCAGTCAATAATCATATAACCACTAAAAAAAATTGCAAAGCCAGGTCTGTTTAAACAAAAGGTCACAAATACAAACAAACAAAAAGCCACCAAAATATAATAAACAAAAAAATCCCATAATGTCACAGTTCTTTATCACATTATTATAAATGTTTAATAAATTCTCAGAAAATATGGAGTAATTGGAGGCCTTTTCTGTGATGTGTTATACGGTCTCTCACAAAATGAAATTTAATGAGATTTGAAGAGATCTAGAACATTCACAATGGTTAATTCATTTGAAATCCTACAACTTGCACTGACTATGGTCACAGCATTACCCAATACTCAACAATTTGATGAATTTTCAGTCATGATCTTAAAGTGACATTAACTGTCTAGTCTGAAAGATATATGGATTATTCAAATATCAGAATTGAACCTTTTTTTTTTTTTTTTTAGTTTTAAGATTCATTTGGTAGCAATGGTC